GCAGGGGGAAAAAAACTTTTTAAATCTGTTTAAGTTTATAAACAAGATTAAAGAAACAATGTCAAGGGTCTTATGGAAATGGTGATAGTGGCCCTTTAAATAAGAGCAAGTGGAGATTTTCTATATCACTGTGCAGTTTAAATCTTTCTTGATGGACTGGACATTAGTCCTCCTTAAATCCTTCAGAAAGCTGCTTTAAGGAAAAAGGCTGAGAGGAATTTCTTCTCGCTTTAATTGCTTAAGAAGCGGTTCCCACAATGAGCTGTGGCCTAGATTTGCTTCTCATTTAAGTTCTGATTTTTAAAAGTTCACAAGTTAATCCCCTTTCAGTCTTTCACGAATGCAGTTGGCATGGAGGACAAAGTACTGGACAATGTCTGGGACATTTCAAACCAAAAAAAAAAGATGCCCCATACCAAAAAAAAAAAAAAAAAAAACCAACCCATAGCAGCCTTGATTTTGTTAAGTAGCTATTTTAAGACCTGGTTACCATTATAATTTGAGGTGACTATAAATCATTTAAAACTGTACCTGCCATAGATGCGAAGGGAGAGAGGTGGCAGTTGTTTGCAGTTTTCTTCGGTTGTTTGTCCAAAGAATTAGACAAAAAAAATTGTCAATCTAAAAGTAAATGTGTCTATATATTTAGCACCTCTTGCTTTTGTGATTAGGATGCAAATAATTTACCAAAATTATGAAAGAGGAAGAGAGAGAAAGTTAGTAAGTTAGTTAGTTTTGTGTTTAATGTGTTTGTGTTCAGAGCTTTAACAGATTGGTGTGGGGCAGAACCAGTCACACAAAATAATTTCCTCTTTTTTCCTCATATCATTTTTATATTTGCTGCATTTGAAAAAAAATAACCACCAGCAAGAAATAGAAACTTGTGTCAAAATGCACTTAAAAACAAAACAGGAGAGGAGCACTTAAATTTCCTTCCACATCATGCTGGGATTATTCCAAGGCAACTTTTAAATGTAGCAATTTCAAATTGAAAAGAATCAGTTGTATTTAACTGATAGCTCTTTGTGTGGGTGTTGATTAATATTTACACAAAAAAAGAAACCTAGAGGGCTGGAATCACTTAGCAAAGATGTAAGGAGTCGTCTTGAAAGGTGTTTTTTTTTTAATGACTAGACCCAATCAGTTAATATCAATGAAACATTCCAAATAATGTCAATGAAATGTTATTTCCAGCTGGTAAATTAAGAGATGTTTCCTCTAACGCTAAGGGTTTGGAGGATGTATAGAATCACTCTGGGTTGCAGAATGAAAATGTTCTAAATGAACACTTGCAAATCTTTGCTCCACTTCATATTTTTACAATGCTTGAAATATTATTTTTCCCCAGGAAAAAAAAACCAAATATTCTATCGAATGCATTTGAAACTGCATCTTTGTGGAACAACTTGTACCCATTGGGTAAGTAAAGGAAAGAGGGAGGGAGAGAAATGTTTTACCAAGTGTTCCACCAAAATGAAACCATTTTTCAAAAGGAAGACCAAGAATTTGTGGCATGGTGTTCTTCTTTCTTGCATAAATCGCATCCCTAGCGAACTATACTCTACCAGCGTTTTGGAGGCAAAATGTGTTTTCAATATAACTCTCCTGGAAGTTTATTTGTGTGTTGATAGATTGCCCGTGTCTACACATTAAAGCATGGTATAAATAGATCAGTTAGGACAAAGTAACCAGAAAGAACTACTTAAGTCAAGTTACTCCTTCCAGTCTAGGATAAATAATTCACCTATTTCTCTAAACACACAAAGAATTAAGTGGAGCTAGTTAATTGTGAAGGTTTGCACAAAAAGCAGAAAACTATTGATTTGTAACGTAAACTTTTCGGTTATCCTTCTGTCATTCTTCTGCAAGAAAAAACAAACTTAAAGGCAGCTAAAAAGATCCTTTTGTCAGGATCCCGGTAGCTAGGGAAGAGAGAATATTGAGGGACGTACCCAGAGAAAATTGGAAATTGATCATGGTCATATGCAACAGTTCTGCCGCCACTGATTAAAACCATGCCAAGGGTTCCCTACTTCACCCTCAATATTCAGTAACAGGAGGAGAAAAGGGGGGTGATATCAAATAAAGGAGAACCGAAAACTTTAAGTTGTTACAAACTTTCCTGGTGTTGTTATGCCCAGGAGAGAAGATGGTTTGGGGGAAAAGGGGAGAAGGAAAATGTTTTCCCAACTCCTAAATACACCTGCCACACGTCCCAGTAACTACAGGTTTCCAGACCACCAGAGTTTGGGGCTGGTGTGGAGGAAGGGGGTAGGGAGGTATATGGCGAATGTGTGTCGCTGGGAAGAAAACGCTTGTTTTGGGAAGAATCATCTCTGACGCTATTTCGAGCGCATTTTAGGAACCGAGCTGAATTCGATGGCGTTTGGAGGAGAATGTGATTTGAAAACCTGCCAGAATTTTTTGTCGTGTTCACCTTAGAATGTAAAGATCCTGTCTAAACGCTACCTTAGCTATAAGGGGTGGCGGGTATAGATTAGTTCCTGTGCTTTATTATACCATTCGTCGAACATGAGGCGTGACACGCATTTTTTTTAAAACTATATTTTTAATCGGTTTACAGCATAGGAGCTGGTGATCATGAATAAGAGCACACACACAAAAAAAACCCCGTGGTTTGATTCTCTTTTTCTGGAAAACTGTTTGTCAAATGCAAACCCGCCCGGCATGCCTTCTAGGGGAGAGTGAAATTGACATGCAATTGACTAGCTTCTCCCAAGCGCTCCCCCAGTTTTATTTCGCATTCGGAATCCGCCTGGCCAGGAAGAAAAATGTAAAAGTAAATCCTATGGGAAAGGTGGAGCTTTTTCCCCTGCAAAACTCTGCATCCGAGGCATGCGGGACAGATGTATTCTTCGCACATCTCCCTCCTCCCCCCCCCCTCCCCAAGTTGGAAGTTGCGACGGGGGCTTCTCCCAAGCGCTCCCCCAGTTTTATTTCGCATTCGGAATCCGCCTGGCCAGGAAGAAAAATGTAAAAGTAAATCCTATGGGAAAGGTGGAGCTTTTTCCCCTGCAAAACTCTGCATCCGAGGCATGCGGGACAGATGTATTCTTCGCACATCTCCCTCCTCCCCCCCCCCTCCCCAAGTTGGAAGTTGCGACGGGGAGGGAGGACAGAGGCGAAACTCCAGTGTCCCACCTAACACACCTCCGGCTGCGGTTTGCTTTGCCTTTACGCACCATTCATCTCCTGCCCTCTTCCAGCACGGGTTGTATGATGTGGCCGCATTGCAATAGATTGTTTTCCCTCTTTCTGGGGCATTCACTCGCCTTCCCACCTCCCGGCAAAAATGACCTTTCTGTGGCTCTGCATATACTAACAGACATCCCCCCCCCCTATTTTTGACAGAATGTACACAAAATATGCAAGCTCCCCCCACGCACACACACACACCCCTTCTTTCTTGCTCCCTTAATTCCCTTGCCTAAACGGTTTTGCTCTGGGAGAAAAAATCTTTTCTATAGGAGGGAAGGCGGGGGGAGAAAACTCTTCAAGAGGAGCATTATTGTTTTAATCCTCTTACCCGCAGTCATTTTAAAACAGGGTGTTTGGGGGCCTGAAATGGCGTCTTGTCTCCTCAATTCCATCCTAAATCCTTCGGGGCTGGGAGCGACTCTAAAGGCAAGTACCCTGGCGTCTATTAGCAATCCCTCTGCAGGCTTTCAACTGCTCTTTTCTGCTGCAAAGGCATGACAAAGCTGAAAAGCAAATAGAACGAACGCTCCAGTTAGTCAACTCGGCCAAAGAACGGGACCCGGGGCTGCCTCCAGGCTGCAGACAGAGTGGAAGTTACCTGCGAAGTTGGAGTTCAGGAGGGTTCAGAAAAAACCGGGAGGAAAACGCAGGGGGGAGAAAATATTCATTGGGATTTATTCCTTCACAGCCAGTCCCTTAAGCCTCTCCTGTTTCACGTATTTCTTCCCCCTCTTTGGACAGCTGAGTTGAGAAAACCAGAGCGCGCTCAGCCTGGTTTTCTTTCCCTTACGCGGGGAGTTGCGTTGAAGTGGCCTGCATTTAAACCACACATCCTTCACCTTGCTTCGAGTGTGCTCGTTCATTCCCTTCTCCCCCACACCCTTTTGTTTTCCTTTGCAAGAAAGACTATTCAAAACTAAAAACGTGGACTACACCCTGGACAGATCCACATCTACGTAGCCACAAACTTTCCTGGGGTGGGGGCTGGGGGTTCCCTGCTGAGCCATGGGGCAGCTAGAAAGTTGCACGGGTAACAGGGTGCGGAGTTTAGAGCCACATACGCTGGATCGTTCGCTTTTCACATCGCTAGCAGAAATCCGGTTGGTTTCTCCTGAGCTCTTGTGGACCCAGATCCATGGGAGGACAGACTCGGGCCTGGGTTCTAGCAAAGAGGTTTACACCCCAGCGCCTATCCGGACATCGGCTTCGCTTTAAAGAGTAACCACGGCCGATGCGTTCGCGATCTGGGACGCCAGAGAAACGCGGGTTTTAGGGAAGTATTCGCAAGTGTGGTTTCCACTGCGATCCTGCCAGGAAAGAAACCGAATTCAGATCGGAGGCCGTGCACACTGCAGATTTAGATTTGGACTGATCCCTATAAAGCCGGACTCTACCTTCGAAGTCCCTTTGATCCCTACCCTCAGCCCAAAGTGGGGCGGGGGGGAGTGTGTGGAGACACGTTTATACATGTGTACACCTCTTCTCCACCCCACATCTATGCCCCATCTTTTCCCCAGGCAGCTCTCAGACTCTGTACAAGATAGGGCGCCCCCCCTTCCTCCCACGACTGGCTTCCCATTATTTCCCAGTGATTTAATTAGGCGTTTACACCTGACTAGACTTGGTGTAAATGACTGGTAAGAAGTCTTATTAAAAAAGCGAGAAGGGGGGGGGGGCAGAGAGAAATGGATCAGCAAGCCCTAGTTTGATTGACAGGATGGAGGACCATTGACAATCTTGCAGGGTAGCAGCTAGGTCTGTGTGAAGCTCCTTTTAAAAATCCTTCCTCAATCCTCTCCCCCGGTAGATGGCAGCTTCGCTGGACCCGCAGACAACTTGGGAGCAAGGCAGGAGACCGGAGGGAAGAGGGAGGGAGGGCGAGGGAAGCGCTCAGACTCCTGGCTACTCCGCTCCGCTGTCTCAGCCCCTTCGCTCCGAATCCGCTTGCTCTGTCCACACGGCAGCGGGAGCCTTGGACACCCTCTGCCTGACCGCTTCTACGGAAGAGCCCTGGCCAGCCCGCCCAAGGTAAGCCGCTTTCTGAGCTCCCCCAAGGAAAAGGAAACAGCACCAGGCGCGTTAACTTTCGCAGTTGCCCAGAGCGCCTGGTTTTTGCCTCCGTGGGCGATCAGTACGCGCGGAAAGTTTGTTTGGGGGGAGGCCTTTTGGCTAGGGCTGGGAACGGGATAGTCCCCTTGCAAGGAGCCTTATACAGGGCAGAGGATGCCCGGCTGTTGGTTCCTTTCTCTCGCAATGCAGTTTTAGGACAAGTGCACCGTTTTTCTCCTTCGAGATGCTTCAACTCCCTCCCGCTGTATCGTGGGCCCTCGGCAGTCCTTTGAAGGAAGCCAATCCACTGTAGATGTGTGGCTGAGAAATCAGGGTGTGGGGGACCCCTCGGTCTTCCAGTTCCAGCCCACCCTTTTTGGCCATATGGTCATATGGCCTTTTGGCCGATTGTTTCGGAGTCTTTTCACGCTTCCCCCTGTGAGTGACAACCGCTTTCTGTTTGTTCTGGTTTTGCTTCATTTGGAAGAGATTAGCGTTCTCCAAAAAAAAAAAAAAGTTTTGTTTAAAAAACGTCTTATAGAGTTGAAAATATAACTTTGAGCAGATGGCTAACGTGGATAACAGGCAGGCACACTGCTTCGTTTTGCGAAAGGTTCGGGTTTTGGGCATGCAAGTAGAGTGTCCCATTGAGGGTTTTAACGCTTCCTTTCCTAGCCCCAAACTTCTGACAACCTCCCTGCTCGGGCCGGTCCCACTCGAGCGCTCCGGATACACGATCAGAAAAAGGGACAGAGGTGGGTTTAGGTTTGGCGGGGGCTGTCAACACACTTTTCTCTTTGCCCCTCCCTTTCTTCTCTTTCGCCAAAGGGCATCCGTAGCTAACAACGCATCTCTCCCTTTATGCGCATCGAAGTAGGAGGCTGTAAATTTCACGCCATTTACATAATGATGTTTTAATAAGCCAAACGGCCTGGTGAGAGAGAGAGAGTGAGAGAGAGCCGGAGGCAAAAATCAGACCGATTCTGGGAAGAGACAAAAGACCTTTGCACAAGAAAAGAGGGCGAAGGATCCATAGGTGAATGAAAGTCTCCGAGGGAGGTAGCCCTGGTCGCCTGTAACTTTAAGCAGTGGTCCTGTAGCAATTTAGAGACTAACCTATAGAGAGCATCCTGAGCTTTCGTGGGCAAAACCCACTTCCTGGCTTGGCCCACGAAAGCTCCTGATACTGGATACATAATCCCATAGGCCAGTGCCACTAAAGTTCAGCGGTGAGTGGAGGGGGCATCTTCTGGGAGGCGGGCAAACGAGTGGGAGTGAAAATACGGATTAGACTGACATTAGATGAGACACAAAAAGGGATCGGAAGTTCAGCACCAAATTCCCCCTCCCCCCCACGCTTGTTCCGTACCGGTTTGCACAACTGAATGAGGTTCTAGCGAGACCGACGGGGGAGAAAGGGGAAGCTCTCCCTGCCTTCTCCGGCACAGAACTTCAGCTGACTCCTACGTGGGGGCGCATCCACGCAGGACTTGCATGCTCAGGCTGGGCTGATACATGAAGGACGCTGCTGTCGAAACCTATTTGCCCCTCCATTATACCGCGCCCCAAATGGGGATCCGCATGAATATTTAACCGCTAAAGCATCTCATGCATCTCCGCCAGACTCCACCCTCAGGCCATGGCATAACGGAGAGGGGGAGGGACACGGGTATCGCCCCCTGCTTAGGCAGGAAAGTAAATGTTTAGCCAAGTCCCTTCTGCCTGGGCAATCGGCCATGCAAGCCCGCTCCGCACAGCCAAAATGTGCTGGATGCATATGGGGGGGGGGGGAGAGAGAAGGGGAGGGGGGAAGAGAAGGTGTTTACACGTCTCTCCCCAAACACACACCACGTGTGATGATTGCAAGCCACGTTACACCACCGGCACACAGGAGCAACACACCCGCACCCCTCTCACTGCAACTGCAGCACCTGAATGCGAGCGTGGGAAGTAACAATGGGGAGGAAAATGGGGTACCGAAGAGCAGCTAACGCGCCTCTCTTGGTACAAATCCTGAAAGTGGGAAGGGGGAGATGCCTGGAGATCTCGTCCCTGTGTCCTTGTCCCTAAGGGGAAGCGGCTTGCGGAGGTGAGCCGACTTCCGAAAAACTTTGGCAAACTTCAGAGAGTCTTGCGAGAGGTCCCGGATGCCTCTGAAGGGCAGCCTGTTACCTGCGTTGCTTTAGTGTTATCAGGTGGCAGCCAGGGGTTCCCCTCTGAGGCGATAGCCATCAGACCATTATTAATCAAAGGGCATGCGCTGGCTGGCTGTTCCCAGGACACATCGCTGCCCCCGGAGACGCCGATCCGGATTATTCTAAGAGGGGTGGATGAGATTCTGTGGCCTGCACGGTGCAGGGGGTCAGACTAGATGATCATAATGGTCCCTTCTGACCTTAAAGTCTATGAGTCGCTGCCCCTGAGTTCTGTTTTCACTTCAAAATTTCAAAGGGCATGCGCTGGCTGGCTGTTCCCAGGACACGTCGCTGCCCCTGAGTTCTGTTTTCACTTCAAAATTGGAAGGACTTAAAAAAAATCGACGGTAGAGCTCACAACTTTGCAACCTCTAACACACCCACAGAGGCCAAATGTGGCGTAAGTTATTCCCACCCTTGAGCATTAATTCGAAAGGAGGAGGCAAAGACGGTGTGTGTGTAAACGCTTTCTATTGGAATTTCTGCTTTAAAGGAATCCTCTTCCAATAGGGAGAAAAAAAAGTCTTTGTAATATAGCCTTGTATTATGGCGATGGGTTTCAAGCATTCCATCTAAAGACTTTTGGGGCACTTTTTGTCTATTGGACAATTCAGCCGCAAATATCTCATCTGAATGTGTAGACATATACCCATAAGCTCGAATGTACTTAATCTTTCTCCAGCTACCCCTCTTTCCATCTGTCATTGTGTACGTATTTCTGGGCAGATCGATTTGGAAGTAAGACGAAATGGGGGCGTTATACAATGATCGGAAACGGATGCAAAATATGGATACACACAGTTCTAGACACTATTTTAAAGCGATTTCACTCGAGTCAGATTCATTTTTAAACGAAAACAGGTCGCTTTATTGCTAGCGTGTTTGAACTTGATATCCCCATTAATCCTCTGGTGTGACTTACAGCTAGGAGCCCAGTTAAGGCAGAACGACACACCTATAATATTTTTTAAAACAAAAGCCTCCGAACTAATCTCAACTGAGGTTAACTTCCGACTTTGTTGCCATTTAAAAACAAAAATAAAACCTTGGGGAAGGAAAAAGAAGACTGTGACTAGCGGATGGTTTCGGGTCCATCACCCCCTCGACCCCCAGCATGTCAATTTCATTTTGTGGATGCAAATCTGTGCAGAAAAAACTTCCCCCTCCCCTTGTCTCTCTAAATTC